ATATGCGTCAGAATTTGTAGGTTAAATGTGGCTAGTTGAACGTGCATCGAGGAGAGTAAGGAGCTTCGCTTGAGGGAGGAGAACTCGGTGAAACCTGGACGCTAGTCAAGAGAGAATACGAGAACGGTAACTGGATTTACATCTGAGGCACTACTGTTAGTACAATTGTCCCAAGTTCCCGACGGAAATCTAATTGTGTTCGAGGAGTTATGGTAAAAATGAAGGAGAGTTCGGGAAACAGTAGTATGTTTTACTCNCTCAGGGAATGGTTCACAGTCACACGGTGAAATTGAGCATGGGGATTGTCCGATGCAAGCAAATTCTGTTGTGTGTGTTATGAGCCATTGCACTACTCGTCTGGTGTGGTGGTAGGCTTTACAGAAAGATGTATTGTAGTCTGCGGGCAACCAAGCCCAAACTGCAAGGCGGTTGCGGTGTTTCAGTAGAGTTGTTCGGTCGCCCTTTCTTGTCAACCTTCGACAAGGGACAACGGCCAAATTTTAATGGCTCGTCACACTCGCTACATCACAGTGCTGATGGATGTGTGGTGTTTTTACGGAGAACCCTTGTAAAGTGGTAAACCCAAGTAGCGAAACACTGCCGTCCATCCTTAGAGACTTTTTGTCCAGTGAACCCAGACCAATGGTTAGCCGCAAGCTGGCGTCAAACCTACTATCAGAGACCAGAGAATGCATTCGTTAGCACAGCCCTGCGCACGTACGATGATCATCTTTGTTAAAATGTTCTCTTCATTCGGAGCGGCATGATTACTTTCTAGAATTTCAGTTTCACTTAATCATAAAACCTTACCGATCACGGCGTAAACGGATAGCTTTGACTTCAGAGGCACAAGTGATCTCCAAAAGAAACCGGCGTTTGATTCCATCCCACAGACAGGCCACATTACTAGGCAACCGGGAGTGATGACCGCCGCCGAGGATCCCCAAGAAATTGGTCCGAAAAAGCATCTCCAAATAACCAACACCGGTTCCATCCCGGATGTCAAACTCTGTAATACAGACCGATGAGAAAATGCAAAAGCAAATAAATTCATAGGACCTTTGAGAACAGAGTAGGATAAGCAATGATAGAAATAATAGACTCGTTGCAAAAAACGGACAGGGAGTGCAAAACAATCCATAAATCAGCACTTTTACCAGCAGTTCCCGAGTGTTCTTTCGTCTCCCCCTAAATCTGATTAAAGCTCAAACCTTCTCCTCAGTGGATACCTTACTTGAGAACTACACTTTCACCCGAAGACAGTATGTATACCTTTGTTCAGTAGCCAACTATAGACTACTCCAATCGTCGATTGCAGCGCATATGGTCGAAGCTGACATGCTGCTATCCACCATTACTTTCATATTGTACACCGTTCACACAACAGCAGTGAGTCCTTCATCTATAATTGTTTATTTACTAACGTTCAACACTTGTGGGCTACTAACCATAAATACCATATATATATCCGGCTGGCGGATAAGCATAGTGCCAAAACCATAACAGTAATAGCAGAGAGATTTCAGCATTCCAAACCAGGAAGGTTTAACGAACTTTAGACCCTTGGGATTTGGGCAGTAAAGCCGGACACTTCGGTGACTTCTTTCAAGTTGTTGACCTTCCCCAATTTGTTACCCAGATCCATTTCACTATCACTCAGTCCCTCAATACGAAGGGTTTCTGAATCTGATTCCCACTTTCACGACATTTTCCCTCAAAGGATGTCTATGTAGTACACTACCTTCCAAAACCAGTAAACCCTGATCTCCCGAGTGGTTTAAATAATCTATGAACATGCAGTGTGCCTTAGATCCTCTGCCTTCCACCGCTACCTCCGTTCCGCTTCATGCAAGCGAGGCACTAGTATTAACCGACCAAACAGGAAACAGAAGAACGCCTTGCTTGCTGCCCAATTCAACAGTGGATCTCGCCTGACCGGTACTAAAATAAATTTCTCCTATGAAAAAGTAGTTTTCTACAATTTCAATTCTTCCAATTTAAACATATGAACATGAAAAATTATTGGGTCTTAGCATTGTTAAAGACACTAACATCAACGTTTTGGTTAATCTCACAAATTAACCACGTCAGGTTGTTTCGCAGACTGCAAAGTTACGCGGGAATAGTATGGAGCTGAGTAGTTTCGGTGGGACTGGAAACCATGTGTGGACACCACCTGCACGTTTGAACCACGTACGTTCCATCGGCAAAACGAACTGGAAGAAGTAATTCTGCATTTGAAGCTCATTCGACAGAATTCCGTAAATACCAAGAAAAGAAATTAAATCCTAAACTTCAAAAGTAATCATCCACACAACCACAAAAGATGCTGTGTTAAAACCCTGTTCAGAGGAATTCAAACGCATTGCAGCACCGACATAGTCCAAAAGAAAGAAGAAAAATATCTCATCAGCGTATTTGCTCGTAATGGCTACACCACAACTCCATCAAAAGAACTCTAACCCAAATAAACAAATAAACAACAGACCGAGAATCGGGAATAAGAACGACGATACCGTACATCTTGGACGTCTCGGAAATGACGGCAAGACGGCTCAGATCATATGGAGTGCAAGTCGACCACAAACCGACCACCTGTCTAAGGAGACTTCTGTCAAAGCCAAAGGAGAGAATAATGGAGAAGGACAAGAGCAGAGCAGTAGAACTGCTCAAAACAATATTCCGGACATGCCGGGAGAAACCTGTCAACAAGGATCCGTAAACACCAATCGGCAGTCAGCAGACATGACTCACTATCTTTGATTTCCCTCTACGAAGATCAAGGATATCAGTTTGACTTCGAATCAGTTAAAATTATCGACCAAGCCCGGAAAAACACGCCCTAGAATTTCTCGAGGCTTGGCACTCTTCAACCTACTCAATAAACCTTGAACTGGATCACGTGTACACGCCAATTCAACCCAAGGATTAAATGACGCAACGAAAAAGGTCACGCCGTGACCTGAGAACGGACCGGAACTGCAATCAGGATGGAATAACAACCTCCTTCCCTCCCCTCCCACCCCAAACCCATCACACCAGTTAAAACGCGAACCGCGTCAAACGCAGTGAGAACAGGGGAAAACCCTAGGCGATGGGGCAGGACATTTACATAAACGAACGGCTACAAGCAGAACACTGCCGCTTGACACGCACTGATGTTACCTTGCTGGTGATAAAAGGTTTGCAAACATATTGCCAATTTTGGCGAACAGGCGAAATGGAATCCAGTTTGAGCTACGATAATCGGTTTTCAATACTTTGCCACCAAGAAAACTTGCCATGGCCATCACTTTATATGCTATCAGGTGGAGTCGATAAATATCTGTACATTGAGTGAACATCAAAATCATCATTGCGGGACAGCTGCAGCGAAGAAAGCGGAGTACGGTAGACGACAGCTGGGTATACACACTACGTGCCTTAATCATCAGTCTACTAATCCATATTCGAAGAGCTAACAAGTTTATTCTCGATAAACTCCCAAACACACGATGACTTACTTCTGAAATACGACCTCGTTTGCTCCATTCCATGTAAGACAAACTACGTAAAAACCGATCGAAAACTTCTAGGCGATGGATATCTTATACACTGCTATTCAAGGTCTCAGTCGAAACACAGAGCTGCCAATACAGTGAAGCAATATATGCGATTTTTCAACTTCGGTGAAGCGTCGCCTATACACCTAAGGTGTTTCAGGCCTGCATACGCTGCTCGAGCCTTGGAAATGCGGGCGTTTATCTCCTTTGCCGAGCTACTACCTAAGTAGATCAGTCAATACACTATATCTAACTCTTGACTATTTCAGACTTGGTTCGGGCTATAGACCAAAAAGACCTCAAAATTCTTTTCGTACTGACGACACTTAGAAGAGTTCCACAACCGCTGGAGTGGTGTTTGCTAATTATGAGAAGTTTACGGTGCTTCTCTGGTATCATGAGAACCATTATCTGTTAGTGTGGCGAACAGCGGTGCCGGAGAATTCCATCATGCCGGTGTTCAGTTTTCTGAGTGGGTAACATAAGCCGTTCCCACTTCAGGTGACTAGGTATACTGCTATCTTAATGGCCATGCAGTATTGCGCAATATGTCAACCCTTCTGGCGTATGTTTTCAGTGATAATTACGGGAAAATCGATGAGATAAGAGAAAATCCACACCCAGCGTTGGAAATCTCTTAAAGCTACAACCATGTGCAGACGTTCTGACAAGACACTGCACCTGATGCCAGTCACGTATTCACGAGAAACACAATCATGTGAGTGTCTGCAAGTTGCTCTCAGTTAAGCTTCCTACACTTATCCACGAGTGTATTCGAAGCGCACTTTGAGGCTCGTGACACGCTCGTATGAACGTCTCCGGTGTTGGAAAAAGTTTTCTGTCTATTGTGCCCAGCAGTCTGGGCCGTGCCACTTCATATGCCGTTTGGCACGAAACGCATGAAACATGATATCGACAGTGCGGTACTGTTCAAGCTGTGGTCTCGGATTGGTTTTACTCACCGGCTTGTTTTAGTCGAAGGCAGAATGTACAATACGTGATGTTGTGCAATGGCTGTACTTTTTTTTAAGACCTGATGAAACGATCATTGCAAAAATTGGTATTGACTTGATCATATTCTTTGTCCAGAAAGAATTCGTGACCCTCAGTTATATACACAGGTGCCTTCGGTTCGGCACCATTGATTTATTAAAATATGGAACTGTACTGTCACAACTCAGTGCGTTTTGGAAGGTATGTATGGCTGGCTAGGGGTGGTCATTATAGCACATCCGCCGAGTTCACGCAATTAACAAACCCGGGTTCAATGGTGCTATCGTAGGTGCCGAAAAATAAATACTAGAAGGCACTGTGGCTTTCTTAAAACTGGCAGTTGAAAGTTCGATCCCCGAATATGCCTTTCAGTGCCCATCGTTTCATCTCCTATAAGTTCAGTGCTGTAACGACGAGGATGAAAATCATAACTGTCACATTCCATTATATCTGGTGACACTGTCTATACTCTGACGAAGAAATTCCACGTCGACGTCATATTCATCTGAGTTTTGTACCAAATGGCTACCTCGAAGCTTTGGGATGATCGATGAAAATAAACAAGCTATTATTGCTATGGTCTCACATCACTCCCTTTATGTTAAACAATATCGCCAACTCTCAAAGTTCGGTTAGTTATCAGTTTCTGGAGGTAATCTAGCGGCGCCGCTTATCTTTACCTTCACTTTTCTACCTATGAAACATCAACTGCTCTCCATCTGATCGATATCCGGTGATTGGAGTGAAAAAGGAAAGAAAGGATTGCATGCCTCAGCGCATACGATGGCAGGCCCCTAGAACGATTTGGTCTTCGGTTGTCTCACGTGAGGTATCTGCGACACCAGGTCCAGCCCGGGATGAGAATGGCCCAGTAACCAATCCAGTCATGAAAAACCGGTCCATTTTGCCAGAGGTCTTTTGTCCTCGGACCGTTTCTTACTATCATCCATAGCAGGCGCCCCGAAATTAGCAAATCCAGCGTCCCAAACTCTACAAATCAAGATTGACTGTCCTTCAAAATCAACCACCCTATATACACTGCATGAATTCAAAGACAAAAGATCAGTTTAAGATTTTCGGGCAAGGTCATTTATGATTCCAATCGCCATTGGATCGATACCACTCCCACATTGGCAGGAGCAATCTATCACATTAAATCAGAATAAACACAGAATTTTAGGGCTAAATTGATGAGCTTGGATTAGCCAATTCGTTTGTTAAGAGACACCAGGCACTCTTGGGGTAAGGGTTTGAAGTCCCACCCCGAACGTTCGCGGTTCGAGTCCTGGCGAACACAAAAAGTACACACTGCTGACGAGTCCCAAACAGGACGAAACAGCTGTCCAAGGCTCCTTGTTGGTTATAACAAAAATTTCTATCGCATGTAAACAAATTGATGAGCTATCTGAGGATAAGAAGCCTCAGGTTCAGCTGGAGGAACCATTAACAATGCACTTTAGAGAAGGCGTAGACTCCACTGAAATCGAGAAACGACGTGTCAAACCAAGTAACTAAGCCAGCAG